GACTGAAGAACATCTTGTTTCATAAGCACACATCTCAAAAAAAAATGGACTTTCCTAATGCTACAAATCTAGAGATGCTGGGGCCATAATGTTCAGCTGACACCACTCTAGAAAGCAGAAGGAGGAAAAGGAAGTGTCTTATAATTATAAGATTTATTTTACAGCTTGTTAGGTGTTTTCAGTGCAAAGCTTTCATGCCTTATGTGTTGGCAGGAAGTTTGCTAGACAGTATTGCTCAAATGTAGAGTCATCAAGCCACCAGCTGGCCCTGCTAGTAGCTTTTTTAAACTGCATTAGCGTCGACCATGCCTTTGAGATGAAGAGATATCCTGCGGAGCACATTATAGAGCAACCAAACATGATCAGCTTGGGGACTGTGGATGGACTGTGAAGATCTTCACCTCTATATTATTGGTTCCCATTTAGCTTGGTGACAGAAAGTCACTGCCACCTAATGGCTATTTCGTGTCTCATAGGGAAGTTCATTTGCTGCTTCCCACCCCCGTTCACCACAGGTTGAAGCACAAGCAAAGGACACTGCCACCACACACACTTGGCTGTGGTGTAGAACAGCCCATAGTCCCCATTCACAGTTGCCTTTCTGAAGGAATGCCATGGAGAGCTCCTGGGGATTTCTCTCTGCAGATGCAGTCCACCTCCATCATGAAGAAACTATTTTAGTACACCACTTCTTATCATTCAAGGCACACAGTGTTACTGAATCACAAGGGAAGTCCAAAGACACAGGCTATTTCATTGGTCTGAACTATCCAGAATCTGTAGGTTATTTTTGAAAAACACACATACATGTACACCCACTCATTTTCTTTCCAGGATCCTTCAGTCGGGCAGCTTCACTGTGAGACACAGCTCATTTTGAAAACACCCACCCCACCATGAGAAGCAAACACAACAAATGCCAGGAATAGACTCCAAGGAATAAGAAATCGTATTCTGTATAAAGATGGCACAAGACGACACCTTACGAATATTTGCCCAGATACTGACAGCCCAGTAACCACGAGTTTGAATGAGGAGAATATCCTTATTCTGCTCTCAAAAGGAGGAAAGTTAATTAACCTCCCCAAATGGCTTTTCCCTGACAAGGCAATTCTGTAGCCAAAAAAGTTAATTCAAGAATGGATTCCTACTGTCTCCTGAGACACCTTGACCACAGATCCCTTCTCTCCTTGCTATCTCTTCTCCATTAAAAAAAAAAAAAAATACCTGTATCCACATTCACAACAGTGACCTTTTGTCTTACAGAGGAAAATGACACAAAAATGCCCTACTCAGGATTTTCAACTGTGGCCGCTTTTGCCGAAATCTGCAAGACGACCAACCCATTGCAATGCTCTTACTGCATTGACAACAACTCAGAATCCCACTGATGTCAGCCCTTAAACAAATTGCATGTTGTGAGATACCTCCTGACTGACAGCGGGATCAACAGAAATTGATGGCAGCACTATAGGAAGTGTCAACCAAGACATCCAGGTACTGCGATGAGAGGCACGCTGGAAATGTCACAGGGTAGGCTGACTTGGGACTGAGGACACCAACATGGAAGGAGGCAAATCCTCAAGGAGGCAAAAGAAAGTCAGAGAACTGCAGCCCTCTACAGAATAAAATGGTTTGTTGAGAAAGCAATAGGTAATAAATGGCACTGAGCAAGCTGCCCTTCTTATTCCTCTGTCCCAGTACAAGCAGGGGCAGAAACGGGAAGAAATCCCCAAGCTTACATGTGCAAAGATGGCCAGAATCATCTAACGAAACAGACATGAAGTGAAGAAAGCTCCTATCTCCCCTAATGCTCCTGACACTAGACCTACAGACATACAATGTCTTGGGGCTAACCATGGCTACTATTGGCCTTGGCATCAGTACATTATCATCATATGAAGGAAAAGGGCAGACACCCTGGGAAAGGATCCTTATTTCAGAGAAAGATCCAGTTACCTTCATGGTTGAGCCACCAGTGGTGAAACGAAGTAACCACTGGGACAGACATAAAGCCTGACCACTTAAGCAGCTTTATCTCTGCTACAGGCAGGGGCAGGAGTGGGAAAGGTAAGACAGTTTTTTTCTCTTGGATGTTGCTGAGGAAGGGCTGTGAGTGTCATCAGAAAAGTGGATTTTCATATCTCCTGGCTGAGGGGAGAAACAGAGAGAAACAAACCAACCCCAAGGACACACTGTGAATTCCCAGATGCTGCTTTCTGCCTCAAGGAAAGTAGTGAAACACCCCCAATCTGCTGGCCATAAAAAGGTGCTGAGAACAGAGGGGCTGAGAGCATTAGCATGAGAAGTGCTCCATGAGGGAGAGAAAAATAGAGTAAGATTGAAGAGAATTCCTTGGAGCTAAGCAGGAACCTGGCTAAAAGCCCCTGGGGAACCCATTTCCTTCTTAATCTGCTTTGCATTTAATTGTTTCCTAATGACTGTGTCCCTGTTTGGCCCCAACAGGCTTAGGGACTGGTGCCACTACTGAGGCTTCCCATCTCTCCTCTGAGGCCATGGGTAATCTAGAGGCTCCAGTTTAATGGCTAACTGGGAATCCATGGAGAGTGAGTTAAGCGTTATTTGCACTGGAGTAGCACCCACCAATACTCTGAGTACCAGGAGCAGATGCACAGAAAAAGTGTTTTTCCACTCCCAGCTGCAAGACCATCCCAGACACACACAGCTGCACCCCCTCACCAGGACAGAGGCACAGGAGCTGCATCCAGACCTGCTGGCACTATCCACAGTCCCAGGGTCACCAAATCCCTGCCTCACAGAATCTCTCTTCTAGGCATAACACCAAAAGTGAGGTTGGAAATTAGTAACCAATTCATACACGTGCTTAAAAGAAAATTCCAGGCTCTCAGCATATGAAGAGGAGGTTAAGCTGGCCTCACTGAAAGGGCAGAAAGCAAAGAGAGTACAGTGAATGGCTGAGAGCACCAGAGATCTCTCCAGGACAGAGACTAGTAAAAGCAACATCCAGATATGTATCCTTCACATACAACAATTACTCGGGAGGGGCATTCACATCCTCTTGGCCCCATCCAGTGACTAGTACCAACTCCAATGGGACAACTTCTTACAAGTCATTCTGAGCTAGTCAGGGATCAACAAAATCACCTCCCACAGAGTGTTAAAAGAGCCGCAAGATGGTTGAAGACCTAGTTGCCATCCACTTAGAGCTGCACTGAGATAAAGGGTTTGGCATGCGATTGCCCAGGCCCAAAACAATCTCCCATGCCAAACAGATGCTTTACTAACACAAACTCCACAGGGATGTTGCTGAGAAACCCACAAGTGCTGTCACCATCAGGCTCACTGGTGGCCCTCCATAATACCTGCCAACAGCAGGACAGGCTGCCACAGGCCAACAAGTTTTACTAATTCATGCTATGCCTCTGCCTACTTCCTCCTATCTCCCAGCTCTTTCCAGCCTAAGGCTAGTGCTGGCCGTGCCACGGAGTGCTCTTGTGGCACACTGACACGCTGTGCCTGCCACCGGCTCCCCGCGCAGAGGCTGACTCAGTTGGTCTTGGCTGCCAAACGGGGACAGCACAGCCCTGTGCAGCGCCAGCAAACAGGGCCCTTTCTGGCTGCCTGAGGCATGAATTGACAAACCATCAAAACCTGCACGACAGAGGTTAATGAAGCCACGGAGAGACACAGCAAAAGGTCAGGAATTTGCAAGGGTTGCTGCAAACTGCTGCCAAGTGCCAATCTGTCCACAGCACTGGTAACTCCGTAACTTGGGTGTCGCTCAAGAAAGCTACAAGCAGCCCTTCTGCAAACCAGGTTTCAAAGGCACATGGCACAGACGCAGGCAGATGGCAAGTGAAACTCCTGACTCAACACACCCATCTCCAGTTCATGCCAGGGCATCAGTGCCACTCCCCTGGGATGGGGAGCTACAAGAGAACAGCTTAGCATCTTTAGAGAGGAGAGGATGAGAAAAAGCCCAAAGAAGCCACTCTGCAAACTATCCCAAATCCTCTAAGACCATACAAACGATGCAGATTTTCTGCCACAAGAATACTAAAGCATGCTGGAGTCCAATGCCACTGATTTCTACCTGATCAACTGCTGTTTCCAGCTTTAGAGTCCGTCCAGGCTGAGAGTCCCTGGAGAGCACCACCCCGTGCATTACAACCACACCAGTGGCCTAAATCCTACATGCACTAAGAAGAAAAATGAGGTTGAAGACCTTACTTCAAACATACTACACAGACCAGCCTAATTTGGCACAAGCCATATTTGCCCACTCCAAAGAGGCCATAAGCTGGAATAGCAGAGATACCCCAGCTACACACATCACAGGCACTCAGCTAAAACTCAGTGTCACTCACAGATCAAGGTACTGTAGGCTGGCATGAAAGGTGCAGCACAAGACTGAGAAGAGCAATAGGGGTACTTATCTTCCTTCTCACTAGAAATGCTTTTTCTATTCGTGTTAATTACTGATACCAAAACACAACAACGTTGCAGTGAGATGTACATTTCTTGGCCCAATTCTTATTTCTTCAGAGATCTGCAAGCCTGATTCATACCTATTATTTCCCCTCCAACACAATCCTCTTACTTAAATTCCTCAGCCTTCATGTTATGGCCATTACCAACCAATAAGCAGGATAAGAAACCACTGCCAGGCCCCTCTCAGCAGCTGACCTCCACACAACCAGTCTGGGAAACAGAGAACCAGTGACAGTGCCAAATGCATCTTATCCCATACGCTGAGGACTTGAATCTCTAATGGACATAAGTGGGCACTGGTTGCATGTGGCTACTCTTGACAAGGGACTTTTCTCCAATGGGCAATGCAGGTAGGTCCTGCAAGAATCTTATCTAATATGCAGCAAAGATTGCTGTTAACAATTCGGTAGAAAGCATATTGAATTATTATGCTGACAGATTGATGGTTTGATTTACAGCAATGGCTTTGGCAACACACCTATGCCTTGCAGAATTTCCTAGGAACACAATCCAGTGCTATCACTTACCTGTGATTTGAGGAAGTCATACTCCTCTGATCCATATGGGACGCTCCGAAGAGAGGTGAGGTAATCATAGGTGATAACTGCTGTCTGCAAATGAAACCAGAAATGTTGAGCAAGCTCTGCAGTTATCAAAACAACAAAACTTCTGTTAAGGAAAATGTATGTAGCTTAGGCTCCAAAGTTTAGGTTCTACAGTGAAGTTTATGGTAACAGATTCATAAGTAATTAAATTAAAAGATCTCAATTTCAATTAACATTTACAGAAAGCAGCGCAGAGACCTCACTGACATGTAGCTGTTAAAAATAAGCAACACTTAGCACTCTTATACGATCTTCCATTTGAGAAGCTCAAAGCATTTTCATAATCTCTGTACAGCACGTTGCACAGCAGACCCCCATTCTCAGACAACCATCTGGGACTTCCACAATAAGGTCTGCCACTAGTAATGGAGGCCATGCAAACCCTGTTTGTGCCCCATCAGTTATCCCACTGAGATAGAGTGGTGCACACTGAGCTCAGTCTGCATAGATGGCTCAGCAAGGAGCAGAGTGACTGAAGACAAGCTCACCAATTAGAACAAGCAGCAATACTTTTGGGGATATTCAACTGCACAAAGGACTAGAGGGCCAAAGGGTCAGATCCCCATATTGTTGTTTTGTAATTGGGTATCCAGCTAAAGCTTGTTAGCTAGACATAGCCACAGACAATGGAATTAGATTCCTAAGTGCCTTAATGATTTCTGACAATGGATCTAGGGTATTTCACAATTTTATCCAGTGACTAAAGTTTCTCTCTTCCCATAGTCAGAATGCCAGCAAATGGAACAGAAACATACAGGTCATGTTTATTAAGTTGACTTGGAGGGAGAAAAGGAAATGTACATCTAGATGAGCCTGTCTATGAACCTGCCCTTTGAACTTCAAGGTCCTTCCTATAAAGAACCATTTGCATAACTCAGGTCTAAAGTCAGATTTCTTAAAATCTCCTTACTGAAGGAATAGCATCCCATTCTGGGACAGGATAATAGCCCCATCTTTCACTGCCAGCATGCCTAGGAAGGGCATAAAGCACAGCCAACATATCACGAAAGCCAGGGAAGCATGGGGATCAAATCTGGTTTGAGACAGTCACTGGAACTGACAATAGGGAAACAGTCAAATGTTCAGAGATGCACCAAAGTGGGGAGCGAGCTGGGAATCAGTTACAAATAGACACACTCCCTCCTGATGGAGGTTAGGTTTCTCACATTTCCTGTTTTCTGAATTGGAAACTGAGCACAGAAATTTTTTTTTTTTCTGGATTTTCACACTCTCTTCCCCCTGATAAACTCAGGAGCTGCACAGATGTACAGAGACCCATTCAGAAAACAAATTTTTCAAAGCATCTTCACAACCTCAAAGAACAGCTCTGAAGTGGAGAGAGGTTCAAATCAGCCTTGCGTGAAGGCTTGAGTTGGTTCTTATTTTATCTCTGGTCCACGAGGGTAATTATCACCTCCAACTTGAAAAGAAGCAGCTAACAGATTGGCCTGTATTACAGAGGAAGAGGGAATTAATTAAGCAGTTGCTAATTACATCATAATCTTAAACTCTAAATTAGTATTATGATGATCCTGATAGGCAACTCTGACATTGCCAAATCCCTGCTAGTGTCTGAGATGTATGGCAGCTCCTGCACAGAACATTCCTTCCACATACCCAAAACTGGAATACCCTCAAAGAAATACAGCAAACGCACAGCTGCTCTGCCAGGTTTCTAATTTTACCAGAACATCTGAACGGTGATGCTGTCCATGCCACGGACTTCATCCTCATCCAAGACTAATGCTGTCTGTCATTCACCTTACAGTGTGAGACAATTGCAGAGACATAATAAGACCTACAAGTTCAACCAGTCCTTCCCATTACAAATGTAAAATTACTTCTTTAACTGATCTTCTATCCTGTCCAGTGTTAAATGTCCCAAAGAGTTGGGCTTCTACTTTGTATCAGTGAATTCTCAACACCCTACACTCTTCCACCACTCCTAAAACTATCCTCAAATCTTACCAAGTCATGGCACAATGTTCCCCCTGAATAGTTGTCTACCCACACATAAGCAAGAGCCAGTTCCCTAAAGTGAGGCTCAAGAAGACATTTTCTGCTAGTGCACTTCATCAAGTTTCTTCAGAAAGTCTGAAAAGGACTATTGGATCAGTATGCTTAAAATACAAGCAGACTCAATTCTTTCTAATCAAACTTAGATGGAATCTGTCCAGAGTTCTAGGTCAGGTTGCTTGACCTCCACGTGTTCTTTTCTCCAGGCTTTTGTTTTGTTTTGATTGCCACACCATAATTTCTCTTAAATTTTTGTGTCTGCTGCTGCTGAACTTAGCTCTTAAGAACTATAGCCTGCTTTTGCCTGGTTATGGTCCAATGATTGAATCAAGCATCAGGTAAGGAGCCCGGGCAGGGTGAGATTGAAGGACAGATGCTTTAGGTCCATGTAGAAGCCACCAATATCCAAAAGTCACTTGTTTGCTGCAGAGTCTCACCTTTCATTTACAGAAGGAGCAAGCCTGAGAAGCTGAGCTTCTTAGAAATGAACATGTCTAATTTCTCTGTTGGCTTCACCCTGTCCACGGCTAAGGAACAACAGCAGTTCAGGCTGCCAGTGCTCAAATGAGAGCTGACCTCTGACTTTTGAACAAGGGGCAGACCCCAAGCTGAGAGGCACTGGTACAGCAGGAATAAAGAATCTCTTGGAAGCAACCTAACCATACACATACCTTTATATTAGAGGGAACACAGAGTTTAAAAAGATACAGAAAATTCTTGATTGAAAAGTACACAGACATGCAGATATAAACACATGCTGCCATCACTTACAGAAGACTGAGCATTGGCAGCTTGTTTTAGGGGGTCACTGCTTGCAGCTATGGGCGCAGAATGCATTTAAGAGCTGGGCCAGTGAAGTGCTTTACAGCCCATCATTTGTGACTTCCCCGAAGGCAGAAGACATGAAAGTCAAGCATGTCTTTAGACTCACCAGCATCTAAACCAAAGAAAAATCTCCTTTCCCCTACTTTCTATTCATTAGGAAAGTAATCTCTCACCATCATTTAAAACACAGACCAACTACACAGCTTCATCACTGCACACTTCTCACTTGTTTTTACCTTAAACAGAAGATAGCCACAAAAACACTGGCTTCAAGACTGAGAAACACTGGTCAAGCAGGCAGAACTCAAGTGCTGACTGCAGAGCCCAAACAGCCTGAACAGCAGATTCCCCTGCAGCCGTAATAATCTGCACTCCCTCTCCATGCCTCAGTTTCCTCTGCAGTAAAAGGGAGAGAGATGTTCCCTGTCAGTAGGCAGCGCTGCCTTATGGTCAGGGACAGAGCATGAAGCTTAGCCCTTATTAGGTAAGAAGGAAAGATTACAGTTTGTATTTCTGCCCCTACCCTTTCAAAATAAACACTCATTTTTCACAATAGTTCATGGTGCAGCTTGCACACACAAACAGCATGGCCAACCCACAGAGCTTGTTTCTTATTGCATCTGCCCTCAGAAGCTGATTCCCCATAAAACTCATTAATGAAGTCCTTAAAAGTCATAGAATATGCAGACAGACAGCTGCTTACCACTGGGGGTCTGTAAATGATGGAGTTCGTGGCCTGAAGTGACAGATGTATAATGCAAGTGTGGTACAGGGGGACTGATACCCCCTCCAGAGCCTCTGGCCTCCTTGTTCCTGGCTGCTCATGGATTCATCAGTGAATATCCTCAAGGAGAAGGCCGCAACCTGTTTGGCTGGCAGTCTCCATTCTCAGGTTTTCTGGAGCAGTGATCAACACAAGGGTGAAATAGCCATGATGCTAGGCAGATGTAGCATTTATTTTATGAATCTGGAAACCAATCCAATCTCAGAAGTACACCATCTTCCATCCTCACTTTACTCTTGTTTTGAGAATGATCCTCAAAACATCTGCCCTCCTCTCCCCAAATCTCTCATACGAAGGGTCTCAGGGCAATGGCTACCATAGCACATCAATACAACCATCATGATCCTTAAAACAAAATATTCCAGTGTAAAAAATGGCATATGCAGACAAGATGGTTTGTCCTAGGTCACTGTTAAAGGCAGCAGGACACCATACCTGGGTGACTGACCTTGAAGGGTGGCTGATGAAGATGTAGGCCCAAAGTAAGCCCTTGCTCTGAAGGTCCCACCTTATCCAGGGAAGCAGAGACAGTTCTCTGCAGCCCAGTATCTCTCTTTCTTTCCAAAATGTGCAAATGACATGTCTATTCCTTATATGCTTTCACCTCTTTTCTCCCCACTGTGTCAGCAACTTGAAGAGCTCCCTATTGACTTTCTGGATCCCAGAGCCTGCTGCAAACTGGAAATGCAGAGAAGGAATGCAGGAAATCCCAAGTTCTTGTGAACTCAAATTCCCTCACCCACCTAGGAATCTTCCTGCATATTACTAGAGTGAAACTTACTGTGGCAATGGCTCGGCCAACACGAACAACTCCAAAATCATTGGGATCCAGGAACTTGCTTCCGTACAGATAGATGCCAGAAGCAGCCGCTGCCAATGAGGCAAGTTTCAAGGCCCTTCGTGCCATGACTGATGAACCCTGACGAGACACAAAACAGCAACTGTAACATCTGAGAAGGATGTAGTGATCTGATGTCTACAGCCCCAAGGGACCTGACAATACAAGTTTTAATTGCTCCTTTGCTAATGATGCATTGCTGGCACTGTCCCCAGCCAAGAGCTCAAGCAATCATGCAGCAGCTGAATGTAAGCTGTTCCGCTCTGACTCCATTGCTATTTCTACTAGGGGCCACAAACCCAGAAGTAACTCACTGCTAGACCTTGTGTACCTGCAACAAAACATTTGGTCATGGTCCCAAAGGCTTCACAAGGAGAAACAGCTGGACAGAGAGAAGTGAACACAAGCCCACCAGAAGTCAATTCTGATCAGAGCAACAGGCCACCTCTTCAATGCAAGTATTCTGAAGATATCACAGCACAGGCAGATTGCAAAGGGATAACAGAAGACATAAAAAAGCAGGGCTTAAAAGGAGCTCTTGCAACATCAAGAGCACCCAAAACTTGCTGGAAACTCTGCCAGACTAGTTGTGAGAGTGCGTCACTGCTTCTGAGCGGTGAGAGAAGAGGCGACGCGTCCCTGGAGCTTGTGTGTGACTCCAGCAGCCGGTGGCAGATAGCTGCACACAACGCAGGGGATGGGGGGCCGGATCAGAGTGACCAAGCAAGGTTTGTTTTCTCATCAGCATCCTGTTCAAGTGCCAGGCAGGGACTGCACTGGCAGAATGGACACCTGCAAGAATCAACAGCGTGATCCCAGCTCTGTTACAGGCCCAGCACTGGTCTGAGGTGAGACACTTCTCACTTTTCTTCTGGAAGGCAAGGGTGGGGAATGAACACATTTCCCACACTACGCACTTTGGAGCACTGTATTCATTACTTACAGTATATAATGTAGTGTAAACATGTAATTCGTTACATATCATACATATATTATGATTCTTTGTCTCACTTTAGCGGATTCAGATGTGGAAAAAAAAAAAAGTCTTTCCTTCTCTTTGGCTGGTATTGGATAGAAATTATGATTGACCATTCTTTCTGCTTACACCACAAATCAAGTGGCATGGTTCACCTACTCAGCTAGCAATCAAGAGCACCCTTGACCAAAAGTGTGGGCTTTTACCCCATCAAGAGTCCACTAATCCTCCCACTCTTAAACTTGACGGAGAAACTTTCTTACTTCTGTGAACCTTTAGTGGGGTCAGTCTGGCTTGTGCCTTTTCTCTCAGAAGTCTTGTAACCGAAACACACATGCAGTGATACAGGTCAAGACTCTAAAAAACAGTTCACAACAACACCATCAGCAAACTAGGCTAATATAACACAAGAGACCTCTACACATGAACTTTAGCTAAACTTTTATTATTTCTTTCCCTACAAGCCCTAGGTAATTTTGAGGCAAAAAATCTAAGACATACTCTGTCAGCGCCTGTCAGAGCTGCCCGCAGCACCCCAGCTCTTTCTCCTGTCCAATGGAGTAGCTGACTGATAAGACTCCTCCCAACCTGCCATCAAACTCAAGAGAAAAAAAAACCTGGCCCCTTGACTGCAGCCAAATGAGCACACAGTTCCCAAAAAAAAGCTCCCCTCCTCCCCCTACCTCACTTAATTTCTAGAAATTTCAGGGCTTCTTCCCAGAGGATTGATCTCTTTTGTACAGAAAACTCTTGGATCCTCTGTCACCTTCAAAAGACATTTTCTGCAATGCTTTAATTAAACCATTTCTGCTCCTTGTACGCTTTTGTAAAATTTCATTTACTGGAAAGTGAAAGGTGCAAACAGTGACATTTTCTTTAAACAGAAAATATGCCTCTCTTTTTCATTATTTTTTCCTTCATTTTATTACTAAGAAGACATTTTCTTGAAAGCAGGATGCAAGTCCATCTGTTCTTGCATCTTATTCCTACCTGAAGCTATAATCTTCAGTTTGTGACATCACATCTATTGCCGTATCTGCCAGCTGTACGTCACAAACAGAAGACGGGCACTTCAGGGAGCAAACAGAGAGGCAGAGCAGCTAAGCTCTTCAGCAAAGTTCCTGCTTTCATGCTTAATGAGTGGTACCAATAAAAAGGGAAGAATTAAAACCCCTCCAATATAAGGTACAAAAACGGAATTGTCAGAAGTCAATTCTATTTCAAAGTTTTGTGCAAGGTGTTGAGGAGCCTCCTCCAGGTACGCGAGCCATTCTGACACCCCTAAGGGCATCTTACAGACCCCGTGAGGGGGGAGATGCGCCTCAGCATCACTGCCTCTTGTTAAGGCCTGGGCTGAGGGATCACCTCCAGCTCCTCTTTTGCCCAGGTGAGCTGGCTTTGATTTCCACACCCACGCAAGGCTCCCTTTCCCTACAGCCGGGCGCCCCGCCTCTCCTCCTTGCTCCTCGGGGACGGACGGTGACCGGCTTTCTCCCGCAGCCCGGGCCTGTGTCCCGGCCGCCGGGGAGATCGCGCTCCCCGAGGCCCCGGGGAGCAGCGGGGAGCGGCGGCCGCCCCCCGGGGCGGCGGGGACAGCACCCCCGGGGCTGCCGCAACGGCCCAACGGGGCGGGCCCGCCCTCGGCCGCTGCACCAGCGCGGCCCGGGGTCCGCCCGCCAAGGACGCGAGCGGCCGTGCCGCGGCTGCTGCCGGTCCTCGTCAGGCGCGCCGCACCGCGCCCCCCGCCGCTCCCGCCTTCCGAAACAACCCCGGCCCCGGCGAGCTCGGCGGCCTCCGGGCCTCCGCCCCCGGGGCCTGCGCCTGCCGCGGACAACCTCCGCCGCGGCCCGGACCCCCGCGTCCGCCGGCAGCTGCCGGGACGCGGCACCCGGAACCGCAGCGAGGGGTGGGAGGGAAGCGAGGGTGCGGATCCCGCGCCGCCGGCGCGTGGAGCCGGCACTTACCGCCTCGCCGGCACCGCGGCGCTTCAACTGACGCGCGCTCAGCCGCCCGCTCCCCCCTCCGCCTCGCGGCATGGTACGGCCCTGCCCCGCGCGGCATGCTGGGAAGCGTAGTCTCCGGCCGCGGCCGCTGGGAACGGCGGGGGGCACGGCGGGACTGCAAGGGGCGGCCCCTGGGCGAGCCCACGGGGGAGCGGCGTGGGGGCGCTGGGCTGCCCTAACGCCGCCGCCGCTGCCCACAGCCCTCGTTGCGGCAGAAGCGGTGCCGCGGCAGCACCAGCTCCGCTTCGCCGGTGGGGCTCCCAACCCGGCACGGCTGCCCAGGACAGCCATCTCCTGCGCTCTTCAAAAAATCACCTTAGGCTTCTTGATACTCCAATTGGTTTTCAGTGTTTTTTCTCCCTGAAAGCCCTGCTGAAATCAGAAGGGAGAGATACCAAACTCAGCTATCGTTGCACTCCTTTCCTACATCTGTGAGAGGTGCCGGAGGGGCAGTGATGCTTTTATCGACTGGAATTCATGACTGCTCTTTAGTGAAGGGTGTGGGTTTCGGCAGCGCCCTATGGACATTTTACTTCGCGCGTCAGGCTACTGCGGCGCAGGAGGAGTCGGTGTGAACACGCTCACCTCCACAGCCGTCGCACGTGGGCTGGCAGCGCCGTGTCTGCTCCCGGTGCTGAGGGGGCACTCGCACCCCAGGGCTTCTGGCAATGGAGCCCGACACTTGCCCAGCTCCTGCTGAACGCGGAACAGCGTTGTCCCTCGTGTTGGTCAGATCCTCAAGCAGCGTAAACTGATAGCACAAACCACGCAGCTATACTTAGCTTTCATCATTCAGGGAAAGGTGCACATGGCTGCCTAATATCAGCTTGTATTTACGGGTATAATTCCTAAGGCCGAAGAGAGGTGTATCGTAAATATCTCAGAAACTGCTTTTCTCCATCTAAGGGAATGATGCAGTAAAACAACTGTGTTTGTCGAGAATAAACAAGCTGTTGGCAACAAGGAAAATAATTGCAGAATGGAAAAAAAAGGCTTTCTCTGCAGCTAACTTTTATCTCCTTACTATAAGAAATGAAAATTGTAATAAATTTTATCATATTCAAGGTTCAATGAAAAACCAATCTCTTCACCAAAGTCTTCCTGCAATAAAGATTACAATAAGAGAGAAAGAACAAAGCAGAGAATAAAAAATGTTGCTGAATTGTCATAAATATTGCAAGAGATCCATATTCCCTGGAGCAAATACCTAGCTTGATATTCACCCACTTGAAACTTAGCATTTCTGATCGAACTTTTCTCCCATTGTGAAAAGAAGGAAACTCAATGTTGTTTCCAGTCAATATCTTTCTGATAAAGAGAACCTGCAATTCAATAACACCTGGGAACCCATAGTGGAAAATGGGAAATATCTGGGACAGAGTTAAGTACGCAGCTAACACAATTAATCCTTAATACTTTAGAAGGATACCAGAGACCAAGACCAGAATGAGACCAAAAGGACCTTAATAATTCTTTGAGGATTATTGTTTCTAACAGGATTCTGGAAACACTGAAACAAATCCAGGAAAGCATCACCACTCTGCATTTCCATTCATATTGGGAGAGATACAGTTGCACACAAAAAGGTGGAGACAAGGAAAAAAGGGATCTTGAAACACTTGAAGGAAAAGGTCTCAGCTCCTACAAGTAATAAACCAGGACACTGTGTTCAGGGAAGGGTCCTCATGACCAGCCTCTCTCCCAGGATTAACAGGTTTTTCATCCAAGCCCCTGTCAAAAGTGCTGTTAAAGTAACCTGCCCACCTTCTCCCCCGCAGTGGGACAATGGTGTATTAAAGATTTTCCTAAAAGATCAACATAATATTGGGAATATTTGCTGGGTACCCCTTTTGTTTCCATCTGGCTTCACTTCACTTTCATTTTCCCTACTTGTCCCCTGCAGCAGACATTAACAGAAATGCCCGCACAGTGTGGGCTTCCTGCTAAATACTCTCTCTAAGAAACAAAGCAGCTACAAATTACCAAGGGCAGTGTTAAGCGTGATTACCCTGCCAGCACACTGAGGATACAGGGCCCACATGGCCAGTTGCTGCATCAGCCATATGATGGCAAAACTAGCTACAATCCCATAAGCTGCTTTCCCTTCTTGGACAGATGGGAGCTTTTGAACTGATGGCGGTCAGTGAAGCATCCCAGATTAGTCTTGGACCATTACAAATTGTGTAGGAAAGACTATTTGTTGGAAGGAAGCTTTACAGTTTAGAGGGTGATGTTGAAAAAGAAAATAAAAAGTCAGGGAGACATGCACATGATGTACTACTGAGAAAATGAGAGAAGTGAGTGCAGGAACATGAAATATCTTCTCTGAATCACAGAATAAAATAAGCTTAGAAATATGGGAAAAAGATCTACTACTCCTGTATCTACTAGAGCCTGTGGAAGTTTTCCTATAGATTTTTGTGTTTGCAAATTCATGACCTCCAGAGCTCAGGCTGTTACTGGGCATAATAGCAGGGCATCCATTTAAAGCTACTGTGCAACTGCGTATAAAAATCCAAAATAGAGACTGTAACCTCGGCACAACCACTGATTCCTGATCACAGCTCACTGCTTCTACCCAGGATGCTTAAGACTGTGGCCCAGGCCATCAATTCCCTGCTTTAACTGCTAGATCACATGTTGGCAAAGCTCCCAGCAAAGGGAGCAGGTCACTATCTGATTTTTGCTGGCCTCTCCTAGAAAAGCTATGGCAGGTTGCTTCAGATTAATTCTATTCCTTGCAGCTCTCAGTTAAACCGGCTGATGCTGGGTCTGCTGCGGAAAGGGGGGAAAAAAAAGAGGCTTTTGTAGTATAACAATGCCATGTGCCAATGTGCAGTGGGCAATTATGTAACCAACGCTAAATCTTTCTATAATTAGAACAAGCACCTAGTTAGAGTGATCAGAGCTCTTTTGTGTGAGCCTGCACCGGGGTACACAAGAAAGAGCTTGGCTCAAAAGAAAGATGCTGGCTTGATTTCTCTTTCCCTTTCAACTGGTGAATAAATTAAATCTCAGATTACCCCAAATTGCTGTGAAAGACGAAAAGCACGTTTCCTTTTCACTCTTGTTGAAGACATTTGCATCCCAGGTGTGAATTTCATGAATTGCAGAAACAAACTCAAAAGACTCAGGCCTCTCTGTCCCAAGCATCAGAGCAGGAAGAGCAGCCAGTCTGCTGAACAGAGGTCAGCATCAGCCCTCCCTACTGAGAATCAACTTTTTTTTCAGATTTGCTTTAATGAAAAACATGGCAAGGTATCTGGAAATTCTCACTTACACCAGACGTTCCTCATATACGGGAAGAGACACGGGAAAAGAAATCACAACAGTGCCAGAAAGCAGGTGATTCTTTAAATTTTGTGGACCCAGAGAGCTAGCTGAACAAGGAGACATGAAAAGGTGTGGGGAGAAATTGCTACCTGTGCAGCAGGAAGAACAGCTTGACCCAGCAGGTCCTTCTTCACTCTTCTAACCTGTCCTGACATTCTGTGGATGGTCAGCAACACAAATACTGAGGCAGATACAACTTGTGCGACTAGAAACAAGTTCAGCTCTAAAGTCACTGTTGCAATGCCAATTCATAAAAGTTGAAGGTCTGGCTGGGAAGAATCTCTGCTCCTGGAGATCTGTACTTCTGAAATATTTTCTGATTCTTTTCTGGTTAGTTCAGGTCACTAGAAGAAATATTACATAACCTGTGTATAAGGGTTGACAGATGTGCAAATCAACATGGAAAACAGGAAGCAAATCAATCTACCTGGAGGTAATTCCAGAAGGTGGCTTAACATATTCCCACAGGTCTCCTTCTAGGCCAAACCCACCTACATTCTTGGTCCAGCTTGAAACAGAAATTCACAAGTTTTGCCTTTATATCAGCAATGGAGAGCTCAGAGCTGGCTCTGGGAGCCATCAACTTTTAGAACAGGAACTTCTTATCAATCATGCTGTGCAGAGCCAATATTTGGATATGGCATCTCTCAAAAGAAACATGTCCATTGCCACAGGTCAGTCAGTCCCTTCGAGTCAGTAGTGACCAATGTCTGAATGTGACCACAGAAAGTGATGTGATGCTTGGAGAGCTGTATTTTAGGTGAGCTGCAAAATCCCTTTCTACTAGTATTTTGTTCCTTCAAGGCCTCTGCTCAACCTTGTTGCCCAATTTCAGTTTAGACAATTGCATGCCACCTCCGTACTTCTCTAATTTCTGTTGGCAAAAAAATTCCCCTTTACTTTGTTTGCTAAAGCTGTTGGCAGCTAAAAGATACTCCACTTCTTTTTGCATGTTGTTGGCAAGCCACAGTGGCCCAACATGTCCTGTATGAAAAGATGTTTATAAGCTGTGAGTGGAATGCTTCCAAAACATTTACAGAAAACACCCTGGAGTGGGGAAGGTGTTACAGAAGTACACAAGATAATTTCTGCTTTTCTGAGAAAGTTTACTTTTCTACAAAGTACAACAAATAATAGAAATTAAACCAGCCTCCTTTTCAGTCATTCCAGAGAATACAAACATGGCTTAAAGAACTTAAAGATTTTTACAAAAGTACTAATAGACCACCTGATCTTTTCCCCCCAGCTATAATTATTCCTTCTGAATGCTGCCTGTATCCCCTAAGAGAATGTGAAGTGCAGGGGTTGCTGATGTGGCTGAACCTTTCCATCTAAGCAAATCTCTTCTTTTTCACTGTTTAGCATCTTACCTGTGGTGTAATTTATCCCTTGAGTTAAGAAGTGTCATTTATTTTGATCATTTTTATCCCACAATGTGCAGCAACTGTTAGGCATACAGATATCTGGTATTAACAATAGCTTATTCCATTATTTTGTATTGTCATCTTCATTTGTTACAAGATATTTCATGAACCATTTAATTCTGCATTTGCAAATGTGAAAAGTGCTGAAGTAGATAAAAAAGGTGCAG